GGGGGGGGGGGGGGGGGGGGGGGGGGGGGGGGAAGAGGCAACACAATGTGAGGAATACAGTCCTAGAGGGATGTCTACATTACAGCAGGATTCCAAAGGAAGTGATCAGCTTTGCTCAACTGAGTTGGGAAAGGCAGCCCTGAAATGTAGGGTCTAAGATCTGTGTTTCAAAGATAAAAGTTTCTGCTTTGTCACTAACTATTCTAATGTAACGTTGGTAATGTCTTTACTTTCAGGAGGCAGCAAATATCTGATCCCCTCCTTAGAATGGGCTTTCTTTGTCAAATTGCAACCTACAACCCAAGGAAGTCTATATTACCCAAACTTTTGCAATTCAACTTCTGTACTATTACATAGCAAAATGCTCACTACTTCCCCACAGAACCAAACACCAGAATGTAAATTCAGAGAAAACAGAAACCTAAGAGTAATGTGGAAGTAGAGTGTTTTTAAGGTACTGAAACTGACATAAGCTGGGAATAAGAAAAAGAAATTCTAACAAAGGCATCTAACAAAGAAGTGATCAGCAGGTCACAGAAACACAAGGTTAAGATAGGAACCGGTCTCTTTTTTTGGTCCAAGCAATGGTACGTTAACAAGATATCCGTGAACGCAGCATACCTACTTACTTGTCAATGTCTAGGGAAGTCTGGTCAGCTGTCCCACCATTACTCTTGCTCCTGCTCTTGGCCTCTTTTTGCCTCCGAGTTAACACTTCCAACCAAAAAAAAAAAAAGTATATATATATTGTTAGCTGGCAGTGGACTATAAATATATAGGAAAAAGCAAAGTTTAAAACCCTACTCCAACTGGGATAAGTCGATTGTCTGGGAAGCCTCAACCTTTCCAGTATTGAGAATAACACTTGTAACATATGCCAGCCACAAAATATTCCCCTACTTGTTAAGTCATGAGATCCAAAGATCTAGTCCACACCAAGAATGTTTTTTGTGTACTAACCCCACTTACAGCACTCAAGGAAAAAATTTATATTTTCCCAACCAAAATGCTGTCTGATATGAGATAAACTCCAATGAGGTAGTCAATGAAATGTAGTAATGAAAGCTACATCTGAGTGCCCACGTAAGCTCCAATCTTTACAAAATTCTGCAAAGTGTTCCACTTACAATTGAGGAAATTGCAGCTCAGAAGTTAACACAGCCAGTCTTTTCCACTATATTAGGAAACCCTCCCAGTTCTAATGGGTATAGATGATGTACAAATACTTTGCCTCACACCAAAAGATGTCTGTTTATTAAATCATAATCTCTTAAAGGATCTTGGAGGTTATTTAATCAAGTGCTTTCCAGTCATCATTCTTGCAATAACAAGAAAAACTATGAACATATCACTTCAAACCCTGCCTTCCTTCCTCTTAACACTTGAAATCCGCACAACAGAGAATTTAGAAAGGTTACCACTTCATGAAATAACTTAGGTTGTGAAGCATTTATCTAGTCCAGGGATCAGCAAACTTTTTCTGAGGCCAGATACTAAACATTTTAGGCTCAGCAGGCCATAGGGTCTCTATCACAACTACTCAACTACTCACTGGTCTGTCACAACTACTATAACTACTCATTATAGTAGGAAAGCAGCCACAGATAATACATATACAAATGAGTATGGCTGTGTTCCAGTAAAGCTTTATTTACAATAACACAGGTCTGGCTGGATTTGGCCTGTAGCTGGCCATAGTTTGCCTACTCTTCTAATCCAACCTCCCACACACAAAAATGTCTTTGATAAACATCCCTCACAAGTAATCATATGGTCTCGACTTGACTATATCATTTCACTGAAGGGAATTCACCTCCTCCTAGGGAAACCCATTCTATTGCTACATAGCAATCTGCATTTACTGGGGGTTTATAAAGAAATTTACCCCCTATTCCACAAGTCAGCTCTTTGAACACTTAAGAAGCTGCATTATAATCCTGGATTTACTCAGCTGTCTACCTCACTAAAATGTAACTGCTTTCAAAGGAGGGACTATCTATTCGCTAAGCTAATCCCTATTAACACTTGGACTGCAGAGCCTTTCGAAGTGCTTAGGTTAGCTCTAATCCTTATGATGATCCTCCAGATTGGTATTATTACTTTTCCCCCATTTTAAAGGTATGGGAAGAAACTGAGAGGAATTGACTTCACCAAGCTATCACATTTGGTAAGTAGTAAAACCCAGGGTAGAACCTAGATCTGATTCTTATATCCATGTTTTACCTTCCTAGTTAGCATCTTCTAGACACACTCTAATTTATCCGTTTTTCTTTATTTGTATGTGGCACCCCAAACTGAACCCAATACTTAGCAAGCAGTCTCACCAGTAAAGAGAGCAGAACAACAAGCTACCCCATCTGAACTAATATTCTAATTCAGTCAAGGCTGTGTTTGCTTTATTGACAAACCTGGTATACTACTGGCTGAAACTGAACTTAAAGGCAATTAAGATCTATCCCCCATCCTCCCAAATCATTTTCAAATGAAATGTTATCAGGACAGGTCTCTTAATTCTGTACTTAGGCAACTAAGTTGTTGGGTATTTTTCTCCCCTTAAACAAAGGACTTTATATTTGTCCCTGTTCTTTTCAGCTGAACATTCCAGTCTATTGAGATCATCTGCAGTCTTGATTCTGTTATCTGATGTTATTAAGCTCTCTTTTCCAGCTTTGTGTCATTTACATATATGACAAACATGTTTTCTATATCTTCATCTAAGTCCCTGGTCCAACTTTCCTTAAAATAATTAATAAGGTAAACATTTATTGAGAATCTTCAATATGCAAGTAATTTGGGGAAATATTCCTATATCTTATATTATGAGGCAGGGTCCTTGCTCTTTAGGAGCTTATAGTTGACTAAGGTAGTCAGCACCTGCACTGAAATAATTATAACCTAAAGTGTAAAGAGATATACATAATAAAACAAGATCATACACACAAGCAACTAACAATAGTGTTTGCCTCTGGGGAGTATGACAGCGACACTTGGGAACTGGAAGAGGAAGGAGGTATATTTTTCATTGTATACTTTCCTGTACTATTGTATTAAATATTGGGTGGGGGGACCAGATTATAGAGAGTCCTAGGCACAGGTTAGAGTAAACAATCTATTTTTAAGATCCTCCCAACCCAGAGATGTTATAAGTAAAATTAAAGTACGGCAGGAGAAAAACATCCAGGACACAGTTGTAGAACCAGCTTCAAATCTACCTCCTATTCTGTCAGTTAGCCCATGGTTCTCTACCCTATGTACAAGGACTTCATGAGCGATTTTATCAAGTGCCTTGCTGAAATCAATTCTTAAAAAGCTGGCACCTCTGGGGCTGGCCCGGTGGCGCACTGCTATAGTGCGCCGCTTGGGAAGTGCGACGGCGCTCCCGCCGAGGGTTCGGATCCCACATGCAG